GTACCCTTTTATGTAATGATGTTTACTTTGAATTTATATTAGTTCACACGAACACTCCATCCATGCTTTTGTTCCGGCCCTCCGGTCCAATTTAAGAACCCATTGTGGCCCTCGAGTCAAAAAGTTTGCCCACCCCTGCACTGAGCCAAACCAGTCAGGGCTACACAACCACCTTTTAAAAACCTACATGTTAGCTTTTATTTCTTTGAACAACAATAATGGGCATGATAGTGAACACCAATGAAAAGAGGTAAAAAAAAACAAAAAAAAAAAACTGAAGTCACTACCAAGGGAAACTGAATGGGGAGCCTTTGGCAGGTTTGAACAGAGAGGTGCAGGGGAGTGTGCGCCGAGCCGGGACAGACAGCCAGTTTCTCGTGCAACCTCACCCTCTCTGAGCCTGGGCTCCCTCATCTGTAAAACAGGATAGCATCTTTTCATGTTGCTGTGAAAAGTTCAGGAGACAACTTAGATAGTTCAGAAAATGCCAGTCACTCCCCACACCGTGTCCGGGCACTGAGCTACCTCCTTACGAAAAATGATCAGTTGTTCTTAGGAGTAAGAGAGAGAATAGCCGAACAAGAGAAACAGACTAAACGACACAGACCCAAGAACTATGGGGGAGTTTTCCAGTGAAAATTGAAGGTAATTTTGATTGAAGCTTTGTATATAAAGCAAACAATCATTGAACAGGTGACCCAAGACCACTGTTCTACTCTGCAGGACACGCAGGAAACATGACTAATCGTAGCTATTACAAGGGACTTTAGAAGAGATTTGTAGCTTTCATAATTGGAGTGGAGAAGTCTTTCTTATTTGAATTGAGATCTTTCTTGAGTGAGAGGGGATGGGGTGGGGACACTCTGTGATTACAGATACATGTGTCCTTGTCCCTGGATGTGTGTCGTGGATGTTGATACCGCCACTTTGTGCGTAGGGCACGAAAGGCTGAGACCCACTGGATGAGGGCTCAGCCAAGGAGAGCTCAAAAGAGAAATCTTTAGCATCAGCCACCAGATCGCTCCAAATTCATGGGGCCTGTCTTCCATGCATTCCCCCGGCATCTGTATTCTGTTTACCAAGAAACTTTCAATTTTTCTTCTTCCAGAGAGTTGATTTTAATTCTAAATGATTAAATTGACCTATAAATCTTATGAGAATGTGGGGGTGTCAGTAGACATCCTGGGTCTCATATCAATGCCTTCAGGATGATAATGTCCACTTTGGGGTCTTTTCCTGAGTTTTTATCTCACTACCAAGACGACTTTAAAGAGAGTTTTTGATTCCAGACCTTTAGAAAGAGCTCTGATCACGTTTTTCTTGGAGAAGACAAAGAAAAGCAAATGCTAAGGACCAAAACCCTTTTTTGGGTGATAATGTAATATTTTTAATATTTAACAATGTTACATACACACCTGAAAATGTATCAACTCACAAAAAAATATTAGTTTGTTGTTTTGTTTTTAAAAAAAACTTCAATCCAAATTTATTGGGATTACAAAAATAACAGCATATTTCATTAACTCAGCAGCTCAGAGCTATGAAGCATCTTTAAACAAACTGCTTCCTGCCAATACAAATCTCATGACATTAAAAAAGAAGTTTATTTTCATATTTACAGAAGAAACACGCGGCTGTTTCTTAAGATTCTCTTTGGACTTCATGGCTGAGGCTATTTTTTAAAGTCAGAGGACGTTTCCAATTGAAGAAGGTACTTTAGAAGCATCTCCCGATGCGTTTCATTTAATGCCAAGGAATAAGTCTGCATCCTCTTCACAGGATTGTGTGTTTATCGCAGAGCGTCTGGAACTTCCACCTACAAAAATAGGGGGTTTTCTTTCAATAAAAACAACACAAATGACGAAGTGAAAAATATCTCTGAGGTATGTCCCCAGCAGGATTCTCGGAGAGGAACTCAGCTATGGATTGTTTTTCGATACCTGGTATTAAAATTGTATATTACAAATTAGGTTTGAAACCACGTGCAACCCTTCGGTAACATTTTTGACAAGTGGTGAACTTTTTTGGAATACAGATTATACTCCCTGATTTATTTATTTATTATTATTATTATTAATTGAATCAGTATTTTTAATTTGAATCAGTATTTTTATATGTTGGGGCGTGTTTACATGGAGCTAGCCCTTAAAAAAAAACCTGAAAGGACCAGGCACGGCTCTCAAATGGAAATCCACTCACCAGGCACCTGCTCTGGATGTTACAAACTTGGTAGGCTTGCTCTCGCATGTTAAAATAGTGATAAGTATGTTGGGAGGCGACTTGGGTGCCACTGTGCAAGGCGGGCCTGAGCCCCAGGGTCTCCTCGGGGTACTCACCCGCCTTAGCTGTCTCAGGCTGCTCCCCCGGATCGCCTCCATGAGGTTGTCATGGGCAGATCTCTGTGGGGTAGAAGGTCGGTAACTGTCTTCTGCTTTCTTCTCCTGCACTGGCCTCAAGGAATTTTTTATTTCCTTTAGGACGTTTTTCGGCTGTTTCTTCACCTTTTTCCCCTTTTTCTTTTTCTGTCCGTTTTGTAAAGCCCGCTGGGCACTCTCCTGTTGCTTGATGACCTCGGCGATGTTGCGGGTGATGAGCTTTTTCTCTGGGAGCG